AGAAGACTCTTGAGAGTCCCTTGTACTACAAGGAGATTCAACTAGTCCCTCCTAAAGGAGATCAGTCCTGGGTGTTCTTTGGAAGGACTGATGTTGAAGCTGAAACTCCAATACTTTGTCCACCTGATGAGAAGAGCTGACTCATTGGGAAAGACCCTGATGGTGGGAAAGATTGAGGGCAGTTGGAGAAGGGGACGACAGAGGATGAGATGGTTGGATGGCATCACTGATTCAATGGACATGAATTTGGGTAAACTCCGGGAGTTGGTGATGGACAGAGTGGACAGGGAGGCCTTGCATGCTGCAGTTCGTGGGGTAGCAAAGAGTTGGACATGACTGAGTGACTGAAGTGACTGAACTGTAGACATGACTAATCATAGAGTTTACCTGGGGCACTTCTGTTCTGAATTTACAGACTTTCATCTGTTGATTCAACCATATGTGGAAATACCAAATGCAAGTACTGCAGATTTAGCTTTCCTTAGTTGTTTCAGATGGTAAAGAATCTGCCTGCAGTGTGGGAGACCCAGGTTCAGTCCCTGGGTGGGGAAAATCCTCTAGAGAAGGGAATGGCTACCCACTCCAGTATTCTTGCCAGGAGAATTCCATGGACAGAGGAGCCTGGCAGGCCATGGTCCATGGGGTCGCAAAGAGTCAGACACGACAGTGGCTAGCACTGCCCCCATTGAATTGGGAATGTGCTTTAGGAATAAGTTGTGCTGATGTCTGCCTGCCCATCTGTCCAAGCATTTCACAATCCGGGCTCAAGCTGCCTTTCAGCAGCTGGTTCATTTCTCCGTGAACAAGAGATGCTCTCTGGTTCTTTGGCATTTGATAGAGTAGCTCTAGAGGTGGCTGACCTTGTTGGCAGCCCTGGCAGCAGCAGCAGTTTCTCCAGGGTTACAAGACTGAGTTTCTGACGCAGAAGTGGCGTTGGTGGGGAGCTGCAATGGAGATGGTTTCCTCACTGGTCTAGTTCTGCTGGTTTTGTGCATTATTTCTGGAGGCCTAACCTCTGTGATGATTCTCTTTACCCGCCGATAATTCTGAGAGCCACCCAGTATCTTCAACATGCTCCTTTTCTGCTGTCTCAGCCAGAGTCAGCTTTTCTTTCTCACAACTAAGAATCCTGACTTTATATGGTTGATTATGTCCTTTTCCCTTGGGAGGCTACAATCTCCATTCGATGCTTTGCTAGCTATTATTTAGTGCTTGCTGTGTGATGGGCTGGGTCCTAACAGAACTTCTAGTATAGTGGCAAGACACATATAGTGACAGTTACAGCCTAGTGTCTAAGAGAATGTGATTCGAGGCTATGATGGGATAATGGAAAAGCACACATCAGAGCCAGGGTCTGTGTCTTTATATTTGTACCTCAGGGCATAACACACTTCCTGTCACATAGAAGGCATTTGGTTTCTATTCATGGAATGAATTTTAGATAGAGATAAACAGAGCAGCAAAGCTCTGGTACCCCTCTCCCTCAATTATGTCCTTTTCAAAAAAACCATCCTGTATTTCCCATATGTCTATATCTTTGATTAAGATCCCTAGGGGTGTACCAGAGATTGGAACTACCATTTATTCTTTCACTCTATCAGAAAATATACAAAAACTCACTACATGCATGACATGTACCAGACACTCTGCTAGGTGCTAGGAAATAGCAGTGAATAACTGTGATCTACCTATCACATAAAATGATAGACCCAGTGAGTGGTTTCAGAGTGAGTTAATTTCTGGATAGGAATGACAGAAACTGCTTCTATTATGACTATATGAAAGTTATTGAGAGTTCATGTTTCCCACCGAAACTTGTGTATATCCCACACTAAATTTTTATTTGTAAAAAAAAAAGAGGTGAGAGAGGAAGGCTCATCTGGTTTGATGTCTACAGATGATTATTACTTTCTACCTATATACAAATCATTCTGTTGAGAAAGCCATACTTGCATGAAGAACAAATCAGAATCTGCCTGACTTTAAGACTGAGAGATAACTGCAAATAAGGCAAGGCAGTGGAAAATTTAACACAAGAGTGGGAGTTGGCCTGTGGCCCTTTCCCTGATTCTGCCTATTTCCTGTAGACTTCCATTTTAGCAGATTGACAACGTGTTAGAAACTGTGATCAAGTCTTCACAATGAAAGCTGATTTTGGGGTGTCTTCCCTCTTTTGTACCCCACTTCCTTTCCTTATATATTAGAGCCCCTCTTTTTCTCACACCTCCTTCTTCCCTCTCCTTTAGTTTTATCTTCATGTTTTTTCCCTTCACAGTACAAAATGCAGCTAGAGTGTGAATCTGTTCAATTAATCCAAACAAACCAAAACAAAAACTCTTACTGGTATCTTGTGTTTGATGCTATATAGGATTCTAAGATTAAGACAAAAGTAAAAGTAAAAATTGTTGCTGTTCAGTTGCTCAGTTGTGTCCAACCCCTTGCACCCCATGGACTGCAGTGTGCCAGGCTTCCCTATCTTTCACCGTCTCCTGGAGTTTGCTCAAACCCATGTCCATTGAGTCGATGATGCTATCCGATCATCTCATCTTCTGTCATCCCCTTCTCCTGCCCCCAATCTTTCCCAGCATCAGGGTTTTTCCAGTGAATTGGCTCTGCACATCAGGTGGCCAAAATATTGGAGCTTCAGCTTCAGCGTCAGTTCTTCCAACAAATATTTAAAAGTAAAAATAAAGCAAAACAAAACAAAACCCAAATGGACAAGTTATGGTAAAGAAAACCGAAGGAAGACCAATGAATTCCTACCGGATTTTCCTTTTGAAACAAGGAAGTCAGAGAAGAAAGTTCTTAGTGGATTAAAGGTTTTATGGACTGACTTCTCAAAAAGGAATTGGAGGGACTTCCCTGGTGGTCCAGTGGCCAAGACTCTGAGCTCCTAATGCAGGGGGCCTGGGTTCAATCAGTGAACTAGGTCCCATAGGCAGTAACTAAGACCCAGTCCCCCACCGCCCCCCACCAAAGGGTTAAAAAAAAAAAAAAAGGAATTGGAGAGCTGTGTCTGAATCTGAAGGATTTAGTTGGGAGAGGTGGTGATGGAGACTGTTCACCATGGATGTGAGCAGGATTCTGTTGTGTGAGGCAGTAGGAAGGTGAGGTCTGTGTTCAGAGACTTCAGGTGATGGGCACCAGAAAGTTCCATGGGCATTTCCAATGGAAGTTCCATGGGCATTAGTCCTGGGTTGTTTATCAGCTCCCACTTTGGCTCTATTTCTTCTCAATAGGAAGCTATTAGGAATTAGCATACTTTCCTTTCCTGTTTAAAGTCACTGCCACAGATCCCATTCTTTGGTGTTTTTATTTCTTCAACCCTTCATATGGAGTTAGTTGTCTAAATCCCCAGGCCATTCTATAGTAAGGGTTAATAATGGTGGAGAATTTGAAGTAAATAAAATAGCTGTTGTGAGGAAGTTAAAGAAAAATCTGATGTAAAGTTCTTAGACTCTTAATTCTTGCCCAGTGTTTCCTCTCCCATCTAGGAAACAGAAGAGTAAGGCTTACCATTCATTCATTCAACAAAAGTTTGAGCAATTGAAAACAGGCACATATATTCAAGAAACAACTAGAAAAGTGTCATACTGACAAAACACAGCATTGTGATGGAGAACAACTGGGCGGTTACTTTAGAATAAATAGGTAAGTCCTCTCTGAGTAGGTAAAAGTTCAACTGAGTCCTTAAATGAGATGGTCGGATGGCATCACCGACTTGATGGACATGACTTAGAGTAAACTCTGGGAGTTGGTGATAGACAGGGAGGCCTGGCAAGCTGCAGTCCATGGGGTCACAAAGAGTCAGACACGACTGAGTGACTCAATTGAACTGAACTGAGTCCTTAAAAAGAGCCATGTGAAAACCAGGGGGAAGTACATTTTAGACAAGCTTGGTGTGTCGGGGGAACAGAAAGCAAGCAAGTGTGGCTGAAGCAAAGAGATGTAAGATGAGGCTTGGGACTTTACAGGTGAGGAGTTGGGTGTTAATTTAAATATGATGAAAAACCATTAAAAAGTTGGCATTAGCATGTTATGGTTTATATTTTTAAAATGGTTACACCAGCTGCTATAGAGACAAACGAGTAGAAACAGGAAGTTCAGTTAGGAGGCTGTTGCGTGGTGCCTTGAACGAGGGTAGAAGTAGTGAAAATGGAAGAACTGAATGCACTGGGCATGTGGGTTGAGTGTGGAGTCAATCAGATGTTTTGTTTGAGGGAAAGTGAACTAAGGCAGAATCCTAGTTTTGTGGCTTCAGAACTAAATGAATGGTAGCTCCATATCCCTTGTCCTGGAATATTCAGTCATACTTTCTGAACTTGGTTCTACTGTCCTCCTGTCCTTTGGAGTCTTATAGCAAACTCCATCAAGAATGCATGCAGAGATAGCTGGGGAGAACAAAAAGTTTCGGTGATTATCTGTTGGTACCTGTTGACTCATGTCAAGCAGTGTTGGGTATTACCTGAGTTTGCTCTCACTACACAGGAGTGCACTTTGGGTATTAACTGAATTGGAGGAAGAGATCAAATAAGAATTATAGTTAAATACATGTCACGGTTGTTTGGAAGGCCATATCATAGTGCTGGGGAAAGGTAGCAAAGAGTCCAACAAAAGACCCCTTCACATCAGCAATCCCCAATCTTTTTAGCATCAAGCACCAGTTTTGTGAAAGACAATTTTTCCATGAAAGGTGGGGAGGTGAGTGTTGGTTTGGGGATGATTCAAGCACAGTATGGTTCACTCCTCTGAGAATCTAATGCTGATCTCATGGGAGGCGGGACTCAGGCAGTAAGGCGAGTAACGAGCTATGGGGAGTGACTCTCAGTTGCCTGTCACTCACCTCTTTCTGTATGACCTAGTTCCTAACAGGCCATGGACTGGCATTGGTTGGGAACCCATGTTCTGTACCAGTATAGAAGAGAGAATGTAATTTTACTATTGAGTAAGCATTATCAGTGATAACATGCATATCAGATATCACAACAGTGAATACCAAGTTTGGAGCGATTTTCACACAGGTATATTCAGAAAGTAAAAAAAGAGAAAAATGAAAACTCATCTCTCAGAGACAAGATGATATACCTTGTAATTATCTTATTATACCCATGAGAGACCTCTGAGCTAATTCCAGAGGAATGTTTACAGTTTCAAGGGTCAGAAGTCCTGTGACTGTTTTGCAAGACCAAAAGAGCAGATCCTCCTTTTCAGGCCTATCATACCTTCAAGGTGACATCCTAAGGAGGAGAGGGTGAGTTGGTAGTGATCTCCTTTATCAAAGAAAATCTCATCATTTTACCTTTACAACTTGCCACGTATTTTTCCAAAGAACTTTCATGTAGTCCACCTCAAGTAAGTAATATGTGAGAATTTCATCATGTGATGAGAATAAAAGAAAAGACAGTACCTTATAAACACTTATGGCTTCTCCCACATTCTCTGCCTCCTTGTCCCCCAGTCCTAACTTCTGGGTCTCCTTCCGAGAGAGGGGCTGAGTGTGCAGCTCCATTCCTGAGCTTTCCTGATGCAAAATCAGAGCCTGAGGAGAGAGGGGGCTGAGCTGAAGAAATAAGAGTAAGAAGAAGAAATAAGAGAACACCAAAATGATATAAACGGCGGTAATTTTTGGCTGAAAGGAAGAAGAACTTGAAGTTAAAGGGGAAGAAACGTGAAACCAAGAACCACAGGGGATAAAGTTGAGAGAGAATTTTTGGTGAAGATTTTTTTTTTTCCATTTATTTTTATTAGTTGGAGGGGGTGAAGATTTTGAGATGGGGGCTTTAAGTCAGCCATGGACTTGAGATGTACTGAAGTGAAAAGAATGGGGCAAAGGAGGTTTTAAGAAGTGTTATTATGGATTACAGATTGAATTTCCTATAGCATTCAAGTAATGGAAGTAAAGATTCAGATGACTTTATTTTAAATCAATCAATTATTTTTTGTTTATGGGCTGTGCTGGGTCTTCATTGCTACATAAGCTTTTCTCTAGTTGCCGTGAGTGGGGGCTACTCTCTAGTTGCAGTACATTCTCCTTGTGGTGGCTTCTCTTGTTGCTGGAGAATGAGTTCTAGGGCACGTGGGCTTCAGGAGTCATGGTGTGAAGGCTCGGTAGTTGCAGTTGCTGGGCTCTAGAGTACAGGCTCACTAGTTGCAGCACACAGGCTTAGTTGCTCTGAGGCATGTGGGATCTTCCCATCCCAGGGATGGAACCCATGTCTCCTGCATTGGCAGGCAGTTTCTTCACCACTGAGCCACCAGGGAAGCCTCCCAGATGATTTTAAATGATCTTTGATTACTGAACCAAAGGTCACAGAATGTGAAGCCCTGACAAGACTGGGTCCTGCAGGTCCTGGGTTAGATTACCCTTAATGGAGCGTCTGAGGAGTGTTAACTTTGGAGATGGTCTGAAATCAGTAATAAGCATTCAGAAATTCTTTACTGAGGACCTACTGTGTTTGTTGCACTCTGCATGGCATGGAGGAAAAAAAAAAATAGTATAATGTGTGGCCATGTCCTTGGAGCTTATACATTTAGATAAATGACATGTTTCCATGTGGACAGGTAAGTAAGAACATGCCACCAAAAGGAGTGTCATAAGACAGTGAGGGCCGTGACTTGCTAGGAAGGAGTCCTAACTCTATGTTGGGTGCTTTCCTAAACCTTGAAATCTTCATTTATCCTTATTCTGTTTTTTAAGCTTGCTTCCCAAATTGTAATATTTTTCTTAAGCTTTAAGGTTCTATGATTTTAGCCATATATACCAAACAAAAACACCATATTTAGGGGGGGAAAGCCTGGAAAAAAGTACTAAACAGTTAATAGTTATTTTTCTGGCTTTCTAGGCAGCAAGGACCACAGGACTGGAAGAGGTCAGTTTTCATTCCAATCCCAAAGAATGTTCAAACTACCATACAGTTGTGTTCATTTCACATGCTAGCGAGGTTATACTCAAAATCCTTCAAGCTAGGCTTCAACAGTACATGAATCAAGAAATTCCAGATGTCCAAGATGGGTTTACAAAAGGCAGAGAAATTAGAGATCAAACTGCCAACATTTGTTGGATCATGGAAAAAGCAAGGAAATTCCAAACATATCTATATATCTATGTATCTATATCTATCTATATATATGCACATACTTCTGCTTCATTGACTAAGTGAAAGCCTTTGACTGTGTGGATCACAACAAACTGTGGAGAATTCTTAAAGAGATGGGAATACCACTTTACCTGTATCTTGAGAAAGCTATATTCAGGTCAAGAAGCAGCAGTTACAGCCAGAAATGAAACAATTGACTGGTTCAAAATTGGGAAAGGAGTAGGACAAGGCTGTATAGTGTCACCCTGCTTATTTGAGTTACATGCAGAGTACATCAAGAGCAATGCTGGGCTGGAGGAAGCACAAGCTGGAATCAAGATTGCTGGGGGAAATATTAAGAGCCTCAGATAGGCAGATGATAATACCACTCTAAAGGCAGAAAGAGAAGAGGAAGTAAGAACTTCTTGAGGAGGGTGCAAAAGGAAAGTGAAAAAGCTGGCTTGAAACTCAACATGAAAAAAACTAAGATTATGGCATCTGGTACCATCAATTCATGGCAAATAGAAGGGGGAAAAGTAGAAACAGTAACAGATTTTATTTTCTTGAGCCCCAAAATCACTGCAGATGGAAACTGCAGCCGTGAAATTAAAAGACACTTGCTCCTTGGAAGAAAAGCTATGGAAAACCTAAACAGCATATTAAAAAGCAGAGATATCACTTTGCCAACAAAGATCTGTATAGTCAAAGCTATGGTTTTTCCAGTAGTTGTGTATAGATGCCTGTACGTGTTGGACCATAAAGAAGGCTGTACTGAAGAAGATTCTTGAGAGTCCCTTAAACTGCAAGAAGATTAAATCAGTCAATTCTAAAGGAAATCAACCCAGAATTTTCATTGGAAGGACTGATGCTGAAGCTGAAGATTCAGTACTATGGGCACCTGATGCGAAGAGCCAACTCACTGGAAAAGACCCTGATGCTAGTAAAGCTTGAAGGCAAAAGGAGAGGAGGGCGACAGAGGATGAGATGGTTAGTTGGCATTACTGACTCAGTGGGCATGAGTTTGAGCAAACTCAGGAAGATAGTGAAGGACAGGGAAGCCTGGTGTGCTGCAGTCTACGGAGTTGCAAAGAGTTAGACATGACTTAGCAACTGAACAACAACAGGTGCCCTTTTCTTTTCCTTTCTACTTTTCTGAATTTTCCAACTCCTCTAAAATAAATATTTGCTGCATTTCAAGAATTTGTTTTTAAAGCCCTTAGTTTAGAATGGTAAGACTAATAGTGATCCAAAAATGTTCCTGTGATTATTCTATAGTTAGGTATCAGGCTGAAGACAAGTATGACTTTATCTTCTCTCAGAGCTTAGGCCTGAAGAAAAGAACAAAACAAAATTCTCTCCACATGGAGAGGAAAATCCAGAACTTAATTCAAATTCTTTCCTCCAATACTGTTTTTGTTTCCTCCAGTATATCTACTGATCTGTTTCCAGTGGCCCACTCTTTGTATAAATAGTGCTGTCATTAGCCTGAACATATGAGTTAAATCTTAGTGGAGTTAACCTTTAAAAGAGAGTTGTACTAGGAGTCAAGATACTTGCTTTCTCTTGTCAGCTTGTTACCAAAACACAAGCCTGTGTGCCTGAGCACAGTGAGGCCAAACAGTACCAAAACATTGGAGTTTGGAACAGAGAAAGGTTTATTGAGGACCATGTAAGGAGATGGGTGGCTCATGCCTTAAAAACCTCCCTGAAAGCTCTCAGCAAAGCCATTTTACAGAAAAGGTGAGGAAGGGGCATGTAGTTCTTGCAAACAAAGTTCTTGGTGTCAGTTCCTCTTTTTTTGAGGTCAGGTCATGGTCAGGTAAGAGTGTTTCTATTCATCTCCACCAAATAAATGTTATTCTCTGTTCTGATGAGAAAGGGCAAGGTCCCAAGGCACACCTTTCGCCCCCTAAGGGATGAGCCCTGGCTGAAGAGGCAGAGCTCAGTTGGCAGCTCCCTTGGGGCCCGGTCCCCAGACCTGGCCCAGCTGTCGTTCTTGAGGGAGTCAGTCACCCAACTCGACTGGCCCTCAGGCTTCTCAGCCTGCCAGGCCAGGTCCTGCAGCCTGCATTCTTTGCACACTGCTGCTGCTGAAGCAGCTCTCCACCAGCTCGAGGCCTGGACCCGGTCAGGGGCTGACCTAGGCGAGGGTTCTGGGGCCCTGCAGCACACAGCCCCCAGCCTCTCCCTGGGCCCCCAGCTCACCAGCAGGATGACCCTGGGGAGAAAGTGTGAATCCGCCTCTTACCTTGCTCTCCACTTGATGGCCACCACTCATGGGGGCTGAATAGGCCCACTGATGGTCTCGTGGTAACTGTTGCCTGGTAACAGGGAGTGAGCTAACTGTACACAGCAAAGGCAGTATGCTAGGGGCTGCCTACAGCCACACGCCACTACAAGATCTGTAGTTGACTTTCTGTATCTACGGTCAAGCTATCTAACCAGTTTTGCCCTTGATTTCTTCATCTTAAAAATGAGGAACTTACATGCATTGTTGGTAGGAATGTAAAATGATGTGACTGGTGACTGGTGTAGAAAACAGATTGCCAGGTCCTCAAAAAGTCAAATATAGAATTTCGTATTACCCAGCAATTCTATGCCTAGGTATATACCCAAAACAATAAAAATTGGGCTCAAACAGATATTTTAAAATCAATGTTCATAGCAACATTTTTCATAATATTCAAATGGGAGAAACACCCCAAGTGTCCATTCAAAGAGAAATGGGTAAACAAAATGTGCTATATGCATACAAATGGTTCTGAAAACACTTCCATGGTAACGAGAGAGAGTTTCCCAACAAACAATGCTTTGATACCAGTTAGGTGTCTTACATTTTAACTCAGTTTTGATACTTCCTACCAGGAGATAGAATCAGATTCCACAGGTCAGGGGTTCAGTCATACAAGACTGCCCTGGGCTTCAGATGCCAATCAAAAATCCAGGTTGTTATCTGTGCTTGTGACCAACTGACTATAAATCAGAGGTTCCCATGATCCCCTCTTTGGGTTTGGATCATTTGCTTGAGTGGTTCACAGGACTCAGGAAACCCTTTAATGTACCAGATTACGGTTTTGTTACCAAAGGATATAACCCAGGGACAACCAGACAGAAGAGACCCACCAATCTCTGGCAGAGTCACCAACCTCAAAGCTCTCCAAACTGTCCTTTTGAATCTTTACGGTGGCCTCATTAAATAGTCACGATTGATTACATCAATAGACGGGGTGATGATTCAACATCTAGCCCCTCTCCTCTACCTGAGGGCCAGGCCAAGGAGCTGAAAGTGCCAGCCCTCCAATCACAGCGTTGGTTGCCCTGGCAACCAGCACCCAGTCTTAGCTGACCTACAGGCATTCCAAAAGTCACCTCATTAATGTGACAAAGGAAGCCTCTATTTCTCTCACCACTTAGAAGATGCCAAGTGTTTTTAAAACTCCTGTGCTAGAAATGGGAACAAAGATCAAATGTCATGTTGGGGTTTTTCTGTAACATCTTATGGAAAAATTCCAATGACCTTTTTGGCCAACCCAAAGCCTATTTCCTGATATAAATCACAATATCACAACATATAATGGAATGTTACTCAGTTGAAGTTCTAATACATGCAGTGATGTGGATCAATCTTGAAAACATTATGCTAAGTGAAATCAGAGAGACACAAAAGGACAAATATTGTATGATTCCACTTCTGTGAGTTACCTAGAATAGGCAAATTCATAGAGACAGAGAATGGATTAGAATTTATCAGGGACTAGGGGAGAAGAAGTGGGGAGTTAATTGTTTAATGGGTACAGAGTTTCTGTTTAGGGTGATGAAAAAACTTTGAAAAGAGCTAGTGGTGATGGTTGCACAACCTTCTGACTGTAATTAATGACACCAAATTGTACACATACAATGGTTAAAGTGGCAAATTTTATGTTATATATATTTTGCTACCATAAGAAATTGAGAGATTTAAATACGATTAAAAAAAATCTTTGAACTCTAATTTTCTATAATTTGATGGCCAAAGTGCTAGTGGAAGAAGAGGGAACTGGTTTGGGTGGGGAAGGAAGTGTTAGAATTAGTCCACTGGAACTCTGTGAAGACTAAAAAAAGTAAAACCCAAAAACGGCAGATGGGAGGCTGTTGGCCAAATCCAGCTAGGAGGTGTGTTTTGTTTGGTTTGCGCAATGTCTACCGACATAGCATTTAAGGTTTTAAAGGAATTGATTGTTAAACTGTACAACCTGAGTTTATTGCTGTTAGGGGAACCACTGACTGAAACTGCCTGCCCTGGCCAGGCACAATAGTTACCTAACCATCTACAGGAGTTGTCTTACAACAGGAGGTCTGGGCAAGGAACTTGGAACCAACAATCTACCACCATTCCTCTTGGCTGAGTGATGCAGAAGCGACCAGGAGGAAGCCTCAGTCGGAGATGACCTAGAAATCAAGCCTGCTGCCACAGAGCCTGAGGCTGTGAGCCAGGCGGACAGCAGTGCTCCTGTGTTCCCTCCCACTGGTGCTCTGTGCCCCGGGCGTTCCTTTCCAGCAACACCTCTTTCCTTTCTAGTATGAATTCAGACAACTCATTTCCAAGTATTAAACAAGAGCCCACCCTTGGGCCCTGGAAGGGGCCCCTGTTCCTGCAACATTGCTATGAAAAATCCTGGTTTCTGATTTTCTTTGAAATATTAAAAGATCTGGTAATACCAGGTGCAAACTCTCAACTAGCTGGAGTTTTGTGAAATCGCTATGGCCTTTAAGCAGTACACCCTCTTCAAACAGCCCCTCTGGCCTTTAGTAGCTTATTTCCAGCTGGCCTAATTGATCTCTGCTACTTGTCTGTATCCTGTGAAATCTGAACCTGTGGCCTCTAGCACAAATCAGTGGTCGGTGAATTTTTCTGAGAGCCCTGTGCTTGGTTTGTCAACTTCTTTAAAGAAAAGTATTATCAACTGAGGAAAAAAGGCACAATCTAAAAGTTGAAAATTATGTTTTATTTGGTATACCTACTAAGGACTTAAACCTGAGAGACAGACTCTCAGATAGCTCTGAGGATTTGTTCCAAAGAGGTAAGGAAGTAGCCAGGATATGTGAGTTTTTGCAAAGACCAGATAGTTGGAAAATCAGAAGATTACTATCAATTAAAAAAAAAACCCCAGACATCTCAAGTGGATGAATTTAGGATTTTCTAGGGACAGAGGAGCCTGGCAGGCATCCACAGGGCTGCAAAGACTCAGACACACTGGGCAGCTGAGCACACCTTCATGTGCATAGGGGAAGACGCAAGAGTTCGGGCTGTGGAAACCATTCCTTTGATGTGCATCTTAAATCTGGGGCCAGTACCCTGTTCTCTCCCATCTGGAGTTCCCTCAGAGTGCATACTTGGGAGTGTCTGCAGTTGCTGATGGCTTGGTGATGGCAGCATTTTTTCTTTACTGATATTACAGGAGACATTCTTCATCCACAGTGTTGAAAGAAATTTATTTTAATTCTTTTTGTCCCTTTCTTACCTCTTCTACAACATGGAAATGACTTTCTATGCTACCACTTAAGGCCTCAGTAACTGACATGACTATGTGTGAATAACTGTTTAGAATAAGTGTGCTAAACAATACTTAAAGAGATAATTCATGCACGCAGTTCTTGCAGATTTGATCACTGCTTCTGTTGCAGTCATCAAGTTCAGTTCAGTCGCTCAGCGTCTCTGACTCTTTGTAACCCCATGGACTGCAGCACACGAGGCTTCAGTGTCCATCACCAACTCCCAGAGCCTGCTCAAACTCATTAAGTCAGTGATGCCATCCAGCCATCTCATCCTCTGTCATCCCCTTCTCCTCCGCCTTCAATCTTTCCCTGCATCAGGGGCTTTGCCAAGGAGTCAGTTCTTCGCATCAGGTGGCCAAAGTATTGGAGTTTCAGCTTCAGCATCAGTCCTTCCAGTGAATATTCAGGACTGATTTCCTTTAGGATGGACTGGTTGGATCTCCTTGCAGTCCAAGACTCTCTCAAGAGTCTTCTCTAACACCACAGTTCACAAGCATCAATTCTTCAGCGCTCAGCTTTCTTTATAGTCCAACTCTCACATCCATACAGGACCACTGGAAAAACCACAGCTTTGACAATATGGACCTTTGTTGGCAAAGTAATGTCTCTGCTTTTTAATATGCTGTCTAGGTTGGTCATAGCTTTTCTTCCAAGGAGCAAGCTTCTTTTAATTTTGTGGTTTCAATCACCATCTGCTGTGATTTTGGAGCCCAAGAAAATAAAGTCTGTCACTGTTTCCATTGTTTCCCCATCTATTTGCTATGAAGTGATGGGACCAGATGCCATGATCTTAGTTTTTTCCATGTTGAGTTTTTCACTCAACCTGAGCCAGCTTTTTCACTCTCCTCTTCCACTTTCATCAAGATGCTCTTTAGTTCTTTTTCGCTTTCTGCCATAAAGGTGGTGTCATCTGCGTATCTGAGGTTACTGATATTTCTCCCAGCAATCTTGATTCCAGCTTGTGCTTTATCCAGCCCAGCATTTGGCATGATGTACTCTGCATAAAGTTAAATAAGCAGCATCACAGAAGCAGGCTTGACATACTCCTTTCCCAATTTGGACCTAGGTTGTTGTTCTGTGTCCAGTTCTAACTGTTGCTTCCTGACCTCCATACAGGTTTCTCAGGAGGCAGGTAAGGTGGTCTAGTATTCCCATCTCTTTAAGAATTTCCCACAGTTTGTTGTGATCCACACAGTCAAAGGATTTAGCATAGTCAATGTTATCCACACAGTCAAAGACTTTAGTGTAGCCTGTTGCAGGGAGGAAGCCAATTCTGACTCCATGTTGGAGACTATTTCTTTGACTTGTTTTTATTATTATAATCATACTCAGTGGCTTGTCAGAGGGACCCCACCCCTCTGCTTGACTGTGAACTAAAGTGCCTCTGTTCAGCTCCTGGAGAGATCGTTTGTCCCTGCCCACTTGTGAATAAAAGAGATTAACACACCCCTTCCAAGGCTGGACATTCCCTTGGAGATATTTTGTAAGACTGAAAGACCCTTTCACCTCACTTCCCCACTGCCTCTCCCTCTCTATTCTGCCTTCTGTCTTTAGTTCCTCATTGCTTCTTTCTCTCTGATCTGTAAAAGAACCTGGCATCCAGACCCCAATAAGATGGTTATTTTGAGGCACTAGCCTGCCATCTTCTCAGTCTGCTAGCCCCCTGATTAAAGTCTCTTTGTTACCTCAACACCTCTTCTCTCGGATTCATTGGCCTATGGTGCGGCAAGCAGAGGGAGCCTGGACTCGGTAACACTTTCTCAAATCTTCAAACATTTTATAACTACTTTAATTGAGTTTGTTATTTTATTTCAAAAAAGTCAAAGTTAATGTTGAAAGAAAGTTTCAACAATACACAGAAATACATAAAAGGCAAAGCCTTTCCTGTTTTTCCTCCCCAGGGGTAACCACAGTTAGCAGCTGGGTGTTTCCAGATTTCAGACCTTTGTTTTTGTTTGTAGGTTTGTTTTTACTTCTGTTTTTGCACATAGTTATGTAGAAACTTGTGTACTTATATGAACATAGAAACATAGAACATATGTTTTTTTTCCCCACAAAAAAAGAGATTATACTACATTTATTGCTTTGCAACTTGCTTTTTAAATTTGACAATATATTGTGATCATTTCCCCATATCTACACACATAGATATGCTTCATTCTTTGTGATGGCTATGAAGCATCAGAGTATTAGGTATAAATATAGTTTATTTGAACATCTCACTTTTGACATATTTAGGTTTTCTCTGATTACTACTAATATAAATTTAATGACACAAAGGACATTCTTCAGCCAACATCCTGGCAATAGGGAAGAAATTATTCTGAAGATTAGACTCTTAGAAATCGACTTACTTAGTAAGGAGTCTGTGTTTTAAAATTTTTATCAGTGTTGTAAAGTGCTCTTTAAAATTTACATTCCCGCTGTTACTGACAGTGATGTCTTTGACTTTTACCAGTGTAGTAGGCAAATCATGGTGTCTCATTTTGTTCCATTTGCATTTCCTTCTTTATTAACTAAGATGACATACCATTGTGTATTTCATTAGCCATCTGTATTTCCCTTTCTGGAAGTTATCTCTTCATATTCTTGGTTGGTTAACTCTTTCAATTTATATACATGAGAATATGTAATCAGAAAATATATCTGTATGTCTGTGTACTAAGAGATGTTTCAAAAACCTGGCTCCTGGCTTGGAGTGTGCATATACCCTTGTTCCTTGCTAGTGTATTAACATCCTCTTGTTGTGGCTTGTAGATA